AAACCATGCGCACTATTATGATGGAACATGAGGTTATAGAATTACAAAACGAACGAGATACGGTACGGGAAGAGGCTCGAGAAAATATAAGGAAAATTCAAGTCGAAAATCGCAAAACTTACGACACCAAACGAACGACCGAAACGCAACATTCAGAAGGTGATGTCGTGGCTATTAGGCGTACTCAGTTTGGAACGGGGCTTAAGTTGAAGCCGAAATTCCTCGGGCCGTATAAAATCGTCGAAAGGCTTAATCATGGACGGTATTCAGTGGAAAAAATCGGGGATACTGCTGGGCCACGAAGAACGTATGCAGTAGCCGAGAATATAAAAAAATGGCACCCCGCATTCGGGGCGAATGCTTCATCAGAATGGCCGAATGTAGCAATTGGCGGCGGGCAGTAAAATGAATAAACGAAAAAACTGGATACGCTGCTAGTTTTGATTGTAGTTAGTTAGAGAGAGTGAGTGCTTTGGACGGGCGTAAAAAGGGTAGAGCGTCGATTGTAAAATACATTGAAATAACTTTTATTTTTTTTTGTGATAAAATATTATTGTAAAAAGTATCAATAAAATTTATTTGTCATTGTATTAATAAATTTTTCCTACATATATTGTGAGGCATTTGCATGAGTACGGTGCGTTCCAGTTAAATATTAATTAAATGTATTGCATAATAAAATAAATTATTAAAAATTCCTAACATTAAATCTCAGAAGTGGGATTATAGCCAAAAAAAAAACCAAAGATTTATTTATTTTCCATTTCGTGTTATGTTTCCACATGGAGAACCGCATGCATCGCTCAGAGTTGCAAGATGTGTTAGCGGCTGTTCGCAATGAGGTTCAGGCAACTACTAAACGAATGTGACAAATATTTGCATATAATATAATCGAAGTATGCTTAAAGATTGTATTGGTAGTCGTCTAAGCAATGCTGGCAGCCTCAGACAATAAACCACAGTCACCTCCTCAGTCGGCACTACCGTTGGCACTACCTCTACAAACTCCGCCCTTACAGACTCCGCAAGCCGTGAAAAGTTAGTTTAAAGAATATCCGTATTATATGATGACCCTGACAAAGAGTTTACTGATTTACAGAGTCGCCATCACTTCGTCATTTGGAATACATTTTTGAACAAATCGGCGCAGATGCCATATTTAAACTGTTGGCATTGCGTAATTTGTTTACTGGTGCTGCGAGATTGCTACTAACACGAGGTGACTTGAAGTATGAGGGGTTAAAGCAAAAACTGATCGGTGAGTGTGGACGAACAATTAGCCATTAGGAGATCTATCAAGCACTTCGTATGCGTACTAAAAAGTCAAAAGAGAGTGTCCACCGTTATGTGATGGAAATGGAGTTTATTGCTCAACGCAGCGATATTATGGAGTTGGAGTTAGTTGCTTTTATATTAAAAGGTTTAAGCAATTGTATTACAGACTTCACTTTGTTCAACACTGCTAAGAATTTAAATGAACTAAGGGATGCTGTTGCCATGTTCGAACAACGTCAGGCTGTGCGCCGCGCAGTCAGTAAAACGGTTGCCAAACATGAAACAAAGACAACAGTAAAAGTTCCACCTGGTTAAAAATGCTAATAAAGAGTCCTCAAAAAATAAAAGAAAGTTGTGCTTTTCCTCAACCATCCCGAAATTTAAACAAAATATTACGCGGTTTATTCACTGATGCGCTGGAGAAAAGTAAGCTTGTTTTAGGAAGTGCGATTAGCGACGCACGGTCATCTGATAGAAAACAATATGGAATTAATCCTTTTCAAAATGAACTTAGGAGTCTGACGGTGATTAATATTGATACAGGTTCAAATGGCATTGATATAAATCATTGTTAGAAAAATCCAAGGTCGAGTAAATAAGAGAGATTATATCAAATTATTCGAATTTACATTATGAAGGCAGGCAGGAAAATTATGAAATGAATATAAAACTGACCTCTGACGTGCCTTTCCAATTTGCACCAAGAAATCCTTTGAGGAGCGTAAAGTATTACAAAGAGTAAAAGTGATTTATTGGAGTAAGAAATAATTAGACCGAGTGATTCACCATACGCATCTGCAATAGTTATGGTACGAAAGAAAAACGGAGAATTTTGAAAATGTGTTGATTATAGAGTTCTCAACAAGAATACAATTCGTGACAATTATTCATTGCCATTAATTGATATATGTTTGGGATACCTAAGTATCAAGAAGTTCTTCATAACACTAGATTTTAGAAATGACTTTTTTCACGTGAAGGTTGTGACAGATTCAAGAAAATATACGCCTTTCGTAACTCCTTTTGGTCAATTTGAGAACAATCCTATACTCTTCGGATTGAAAAACGTACTGGTTTTTGCCAGCGATTTATTCATCAAAAACTGAAAGATCTAATTGCACAAGGTAAATTTGTTGTGTATATGAATGATATTAAAGTGGCAACTGAAACTTTAGAAGCACATATGCATACATTAACTCAAGTTTGTCATCATTTGGCTGAGATCGGTTTAGAGTTAAATCTCAATAAATGTAAATTTGGTTATGAGACCGCCGAGTTTCTGTTTTATCAAGCAAGTGAAAAGGGTACGTTCATGTCTGGGAATGTTTTCATATTTTCGCAAGTTTGTTCCAAACTTTGCTAAGATAGCATATCCGCTGCAGCGCCTGCTTAGGACCTGTGTTGAGTTCTGCATTTATGAGAAATGCAAGGAAACATTTAGATTATTAAAGCAAAAGTTGAAGTAGACCAAAATGTCTACGGCGATGGCTATAAAATAGTAATACAAAAATTTAAAATGTTAAGATGCACATTCTTGTCTTGAAATATTGTGAAACATTTGTTTTCAACAAAAGGGAGAACTTAGGATTCTAATATCATTAAGAACTGAATTAAATGAGATTCCCCCGGCAACAAATTCTGAAGTAATAGCCTCCTCTTTGAAAATTCAGCCAAATAAATCTAATGAATTATATGGAATCTCTAATACTATTCTGAAGCAAGCAACACAAAAACAATCCTTCACATTTAGGGATGTGGTTAACAGCTGCCTACAGGAAGAAGTAAACATAGTTGGGTTTGCAGATGATACTGCGATAATGGTGGTTGCAAAAATTTTAGACGAAGTGGCTACAAATTGCAACGCTACTATCGCAGTAACTAAATAGTGGCTGCAATACAGTGCATTGGAGGTTGCTGAGCACAAAACAAAGCTGCTGTTAATCAGCAGAAGAAAAAAGATTGAAATGCTCTCACTTAGAGTGGATGGCATAGACATACAATCGATTCCCCAATTTACATATCTCGGTGTCACCCTAGATACTAGGCTGAGTTGCAAAACACACCTAAAGCAATCGGGAGATAAAGTCGCAAGTATTTGCAATACATTATCCCATTTAATGTCGAACGCAGCAAGCCCCAAGGACATCGTTCTTTTAGCCCCAGTTTCTAAGTCGGTGATGCTATATGCTGCCCCTGTGTGGGCGCATAATATGACCATAAAGTCGTATCCACGCGTAATGAAAAGCGCATATAGATTATCAAACTTACGCATATGCCGTGCTTACCATACAGTATCGGACGATACAGCGGGAGTATTGGCTGTACGTATGCCAATAAAACTTGAAGCGCTCGCCGCCAGAGACAGTTTTTTCTAGCGTCTCGTCTAGAGGTACTGACGAGCTACTTAGTACGAAATCGGAGTAAAAGCACGCTAGGTGCTCTTCTAACCTGCCCTGTGAAGGAATTCCTTAAGTGGTCGTACTGCAATACTACTCATTAGTCGTATAACTCAATGAGTCGTGCATGAATCGGTTATGCAAATGGTATGGGCCATTTGTATCTTTAGAAAATTTTTCCTCCACGTTCAATACCAGCCAAAAAAAAGTGTATATATACAAACAGAACTTTAAAGAAGGAATTGATCAGATTTGATAAATGTGTATATTTTTGTTTGGTAATTTACGTAGCATTTCTGTCATTATAAATTCACTTCCTGGTGACTTTTATTATTTTAGATTATAAATTTGATTTTATATCGCTAATAACGGATGGTAATGGTAATGTTATGCCAACGTTACAGATGGAATGTTGATCTCACATTTTGTCCAATCCAAAGTAGTTTGTAAGTAATTTAAACAGGTTTTCTATCTAAGTGTTAATTTTGCCTATTTATATACAATAATTTTTATTATTGATTAAAGATTGAATTTGCTGTAAGCTTTATAAGAAAATTATTAAATGAGTCGTTTTTAAAAACCTTTTAAAATGCAGCTCATTAGTTATTTAATTTAGTTTTAATTTATCCACTGGCCATCTTGTTTGTTGCCAATAGCACTGCAGTTTTCTCTGAGCTGTAATGAGCATTAGTAACCTACATACAAAGTTTGAAGACAACCTACTATCAAATGATTCAAACTATCTAATTAAAAGAATTCAACTAAATTTTATTGTTTGCCAATAATATAATTGTGATACCTTAAAATTAGTTTTTCAATAGGTACGGGAGCTGATGTGTCAGCTTAAAAAATAGAAGTTTATTTAAGAGTACGATTCAAAAGATATATACTTTGTAATGAACCTATTCATGGCCGTTAATAGCGAGGATAGCTCGTAGTCTTCCAGAGAGAGATGTTTATTTCATACAAAATTAATATACAGATGTTAAGCATTTAAACATTTTTCCTAATCGATCACATTGAAAAGTGTTTTTCAAAGCATACAGTACAAAAATTTGATATTCCATATTAACTGCTTAAAATTCTTTTTAACATTTGTGGTTCCGAAAAGTTTAACCCTTAGATACATAATAGATGATTTAAAATATAAGGCAAAGGAACGAATTCTTGCAAGAAATTTGTATTAATAGAAAAAACCTTACATAATAAAAAGAAATCAATGAAACTAATTTAGTATAACTTAAAATTATTGGAATACTAAAGTCTCAATAATAGAACAAGAGTAAGTAAAAAGTAATATGTAATATGTTACGATATCTAATATGTTTTCTAATATATGTTACGATACCACTAAAAAACACAAATAGTTATCAAAGTTATATTAAAAGCTTACCTTTTCGCGATTAAGACTTTTAATAGTATTTAAATTTGTTTTATCTGATATTCCACCATGTACGACAAAAATTGCATTATTTATTATGGTTCCTAAAGGCAGCCAACTGTAAACTTCATCAATTGTCTTCAATAGAGCCTCCGCATTATTCTAAGTTTATAATTATTAATAACTAACTGTTTTATTTTTGAAAAATTTACCCCATATTTTAAGACCACTTCTTTTGTAAAACCGTACCGTCCATTCATTACGGAATCTTCATGATTGCCGCGATTCAAATAAACACCTCCTGGAAATGCTAAGAAAAATGCTATTAATAATAGAAAGACTTCCATACTTTTTTTGCCTCGATCAACGAAGTCTCCATTAAATACATAAGGATTTTCTGCACATGGTAACCCATTCTGAAATTTGATACATTAGTTTCTATAATGTCATTGTGATATAATCAAAATATACTTTATATAATATAACCAGCAAATCATCCAGTTTGCCATGAAGATCGCCAACAATAGTAATCTGCTTTGATAACACTGTGGAAGCCTGATTAATATTGGGAAGCCTTTTTAGTCTCGAAATAGCTTCAGTGAGAAGACGATTTACATTTTTTGCATCTAATTGATTGTTCTAATTAATATATAATATTAGCTTTTTTTTTATACGTGTTTTATATTTATACCTTTTTTTTTCTAAATAAATCTATAAGATTATTTACATCCTTAGCGATTAATGGAAATTTTAGTTGTGGACCAACGTAATTGGGATCTTCACTTAGTTTTACATTTTGATCTTCACTTTCATCAACTGTTATAGATGTAATCTATTATTTGTTATTTGATTGTGTCTTAATAATAATAAATTGTTAAATTTGTGTATATGCTATGACTGCATATTATATGTATACAGTAAAATTATTCTTAACGGACAGTCCTTTTAACCGGACAGCCTTCGTAAACATAGCTTTTCCTTTAATTTTTCCATACAAATATCATTCCAATAACCGCACTGTCTAATAACAAAACGCAGACACTATATTTCAAACTATTTTGATTAAAAAATCAAAAAAAATCAAAAAAATATAGAACCTGTAATTTAAAAATGTCACCAAAATAAAAATGTACTTTCCATTATAGAAAAAATGGAAATTATTAACGTGTTCCAAAACGAAAAATTGTCGTATGTGAAATTGCAAAAAGGTAAATTTTAATCCCCATAAAAAATGAAATTATGCACAATTTTTTGTGTTTAAAGGTTTCATGTTGGCAAAACGCAAGAAATTAATAAAAATAAATGGGACTCTGGACTAAACGCATATCAAAGCGATGTTTTCTTAAAAAATGCGGCTCTGAAATAGTCAAAATATATTTTGATTGGTTCGCTAAGTCTAGAAGTCGAAATATTTAAAAGTCAGGCAAAAGCAGTTGAAATAACAATCAAATTAGGTGTATCTAATTTTAATGCATCAGATGGTTGGTTAAACGGACAGGGCATAAGGAATAATGTTGCTTTCAAGTGCATATCTGGTGAATCTGGAGATGTAAACTAAGAGAATGTCAGGTACTTCAGGGCAAAGCTGTCATCTCTGTTGAGCAGATACAAGCCCCAAGATATTTACAATGCAGATGAAAGCGGGCTTTTCTTTAACGCATTACCTAATAAAACTTACCCTTAAAGAAAGACTCACAATATGGATTTGTGGATTTTTTTTAATGGCCTAGTGGGGTGGTGAGCCCCAATTGGTATTGATAGATGATAATTAAAATCAGTGCCGTATTTACTTGAAATATCTCTGAAATCAATTTAAAAAGTTATTAAAAATGAGAATCAAATTGTATATCAATATTCTAGTTGCACAAACACCCTATCAAACTGCTGAATCAAAAAAATAGTGAAAAGCTCAAATGATTCAGAAGATATTCCACAAAGATAAAGTTGCTGTATCACAATCTGAGTATGGAAGCCCTATAATCTTGACAAAAAAGTAAAATAATTATAAACAACTTTACGGTGATTATGCGGTGGAACTGACATTCGTATATACATACATACAGTTTGTCAACATTGTGTTTGTAAAACGAAAAAATGTTACAAATGTTTATTAAATGCACAATAAAAATGATTTAATTTTGAAATAAAAAAAAAAATTAAAAAATAATTTAAACATTTTTCTTTATATTATACTAAAAATTAATCAAAAATATCATTAGAACAGTAAAATAATTACAAAAATAAAAATAACAACAAATTTGTTGTGTCAACATTGTGTTTGCAATTTTGCAATTTCTTATTTTTAACGGCACAGAATACCGTTAGATGTGTCTGGGTTTTTCTTTTTATTATAATATTCTGCAAAAACTGTTCAGTTTCTATATTATTTAATAAAGTAGAGTGTTTTAAGTGAAGGAATAACTAGAACGCACGTAATTAAATATGCCAGGTAAAAGAACATATTCAAATAATATTGAATTAGTATGTCATAATTACTACCTCGGCAGATCTACTAGGAATAAAGACTAATGTTTAATATTAGGTTAAGAACAATTTATAATATCATAAACAGAGCAGAAAATGAGGATTGCATTAGTTTAAAACCAGCAGGCCACCGTATTAAACCATTGTCTAATCGCCATATAAGAAGAGTATTGCGAATAATTTTTAAAAATCCTTGAATTTCCTTACGATCATTGGCATTAGGTCTATAGAAGCTTTTTAATATTGTTGTTAGTCACAAGGCAATAAGAAAAGTGCTATTACAAAACATTTATTCTTCGAAAGTTGCACGTAATACACCGTTGTTATCTGTTCAAAAAATTGAAAAACGATTTCAGTTTCAGTTCAGTTTTATAAAATATGTTTCTGAGACATTTTTGTGTGGGTCCTGCATGATTTTGATTTTGAGCTTGATTTTCACTTCGTCAGAGTAGTAGTGCTTTTTTTTTTTTTATCGCTACGAGTCTAGGAGCCAACTTGTTTGCATATTGTTTGTTTGTTCCTTTGAATTGGGGCTATATATTCTTTAAAATTTTCCAAAAGAAATAATTAATTTTTTCCGTGAGGTAAGTCTTTCTGGATGTTTTTTATTGAACTATTCCTTTCTTCATCAAAGGTTTTTTCAGCGCTTTAATCGCTACATTGAGGTTGAATTTAGATCTGGGATAACTGCATTTTTTCAGAAATACAGTTTAGCAGAAATAGGCTCATCCAAGGTCAATGGAAAAATTGTTTTTTTGCATTATCATGTTGAACAATAGTAGAGTCAGCAGAAGCGTCAATTAGGGTATTGTTTATTACATCGACAGCGTTCTCAATTTCATCTGGGTAGTGAGTTGCAAAAGTTTGTAACGACACGTTTTCGTTCGTTGGTAATGCTGAGGTATACTTAGCCGCTGTCCGAGGGTCGTTGCAATATAATTTTTATTTTTGAAGTCAAAGACAATGTGATGTAGTGATCTAATTATTATTATTTATTTAGGAGAATTTAAAATTAAATAAGGTTTTGCATTCTAATATAATTATAATATAATGCTGGTTTGCTAATTTGATGACTACGATTATTTGGAATAATCGTGCTTCGATGATTGTTCCGATTGTTGTTTCCACGTGCCTGAAATGTTGCTTTCAGACGACACTACTCGTGCTAATCTTGGTGTTTTGTCAGAAGACGTCGTTAACTGGAGATTAGAAGTGTTGTGCTGGGTTACAGCCTTGGTTAGCATTCATTAATGTTAGGACGTATTACTACCCTAACTCAAACCTACACATAATCCTACTAGTCAAGATGTATCATGACTACCTTGGCTTGATTTACATATAAGACTACATATACAATCTACTAGTCAAGATGTATATAACTACCTTGACGTAATACAAGTCTACTAGTCAAGATGTATGTAACTACTTGCCTACAGTTCTACTGACTTGTTTCACAAAGACGTATTACTACTTTTAAGAGTTTCCAACAAGTGCCCCTACTTGTACAATGCGCGTTTATTTATACTCAAACGACCGAAGCTTTTCCTGTAGCCTATCGGTACATTTGCCGTTGGTATTTTTGATGCTTGTTGTCTTTTGTTGCTGTTGTTCGCCTGGGTGTGATTTCTGTGCTTTATGTTTTCGTGTGTTCTTGAATTCGCCGTGCTTTGTATTTAGTTCAACCAAAGCTTTCATGCTTTGACGTTTCTTGTCTTGTTTACAAACATGTTTTTTATATAGTGCCGGTAATAGTTATTATTATAATATATATTTATATTTATTTATTAATAAATAATAAGAAAAAATTAATAAAACAAACAACAAAAAAATAAAATAAATATATAAATAGTCAATAAATAAGATGTGTATATTCTTCACTTATTTAAATACATTTCTTTATTTTTTTTTGTTAATTGTAATAATAATTTCAGATGCATTCCAAGTGATACCGATGCAGATGCGATGTGTTACTTGTCAGTTATTTTAATATAATATATATATTAAATAAAATTAATCCATTTTATTTTATATTATATTAAAATTCTAACAGTGAGTGAAATTAAATTATATGTTGTTGTTAAACATAGTGTATTGTGATGTGTAACTAAAATGTCTTTTGAAGTTACTAGTATAGTGTTGGTGTTATTGCATGTTTATATTGAATCTACGTAAGTTGAAAATATGTGAATATTTCCTTCCTTACATGTGTAATAAGTGAAAAGTAAGTTATTATTATAAAATAACAGCAGTGCAGACATTGTTTTGTAAAAAGAAATAGTGGTATTTATTAAATTAGCGCAATTGATTTTTGTAAAAACATATATAATAGTTTATGTAGTGTAAAGAACTCAGTCTTGGTTAAACTGAGGTGGAAAACTATCGATGGTTTACCACTATCTATCCGCCATCGATGGCAGTGCTAGACTATCGATAGTCTACGATAGTTTGTCATAGTAAAGCTTCACAAAAAAAGCGCACTTTTGGCATCTGTAGTTTGCCATGGCGTAAAGTGACTTCAAAATTCTAATTCTAAAAACATCACGAAGATAAACATGTTCACAATTAATTACTATTACGTAGTAATGATGAAATATTTCTGTGTAAAATTATTTCTGTGAAATATTTCAGTAAAGCTGAACAAGTAGTTTCAGAACGACGGACTCGACTGAAAGAAAAAAACATCAATATGATGTTATTTTTAAACAAAAATCTTAGTTACTAAAATGGCAACAATGTCGAAAAAAGAAGATGAAATCTTCTTATTTTTATTTATGTAAAATATTGGAGGTATTCAGGCAACTGATTAGTTGCTTAGTAGATTAAAATACTTCGTATAAAAAAATCAGCATTTTGATGTTAATCTGTTGCTTAAACGACCCAAAATGCGTAATTTGATTAGTATGTTGTGTGCAAATGCTTTGGCAGCACTCGTATCAACAGCAAAGCGAAACGTATGTTAACAGTGAAATACTCAAATATTCGTAAATTTTAATATTATTTAAATGTATCATATAATTTATCATATAACTAAAATTGCAAACGTGTCATATATCAAGAAGTAGAATATTCAATTTTATACTTTTTAATTATATTTTAACTCTTTAAAAATTACAGTTTTACTGAATTTTATTTATTAATTTATGTTGCATTTTTTTTTAAGACACCCTATGCGTATAGCGCCAACACTTGGTACTGGCAGCACTAATAATCAAATTTTCACTAATATGAGAATCTCCGAAATAGTAGATTCTCTGCTTAGTTTCTTTTTTGCATGCAAATTTTTGTTGTAATCATCTACTAAGCAACTAATCAGTTGCCTGAATACCCCTATTATCTCCAAAAATTCAATGAAATGTGTCATATTAATTAAATTTTAGTTTAAATTTAAAATAAATACATGATTTTTTGAATTAAACAGACCTTTGTATTAAAATTAACATACTATCGAAAACTCTTGATAGTAATCGATGGCTTGGAAAAAAACTGTCAGTCACTATCGATGGTACCGACTATCGACAGTTCTACACTAGGGTAAATAAGAATTTAAGTGATGGTCCTAGACACGTTTGCAAGGCTTTTCAAACAACTTTCAATACAATTTGGGGACAAAGTGCGAGGGATGGTTCAATCAAAGCAAAACTTTATCAAGATCGAATATGCCTGATTTTTCGCAAAAGTCAGATTATAAGTTTTTTAAATTAGAATATCAGTAAGGTCTTAAACTCATTTGTATGGGCAGCTGCGTAGTTAGATATAAAATGTAAAGAAATTAATAACACACCCTACTTGGATTGTTGATTGTGTAGGGAAAGGGTGGACAATTTTGAATATTTTCAGTAAATATGCGATTGATATATATTGTAATATGAATGATGTTTAAAAGTATTTATATATCTGGTAGTTTGAACAATATACTACGATAATAGACCATTGTGCACTGCATTTATTTTCAGTTATAACTTGCAACTGCGGTCACTTTTAAATATGAAGAAAGGCGCGAAAATTGTGAGCTTTATCAGTTTTGCGATGATATTGAACGACAGGTTAATATTATTATATCAGTGCCTTGTTATTTTTTTTTAATATTTTGAACTTTAAACTGAACAAGAAAAGTTAAACTGTATTAATTGTATGTATATTAATAATTGTAATTTTTTTTTGAAAAATGTTCGATTTAATTAGTTTTGTCAATTTTTGGAGGCGATGCGCGAGGGGAAGATATTGACTGATAATTTTTATTTTTTTTCTCAATTGACTACATTTATTTTAATACAAATCTATATCTAGGTCTCCGCTTTTTCATATATAGTAGGGATGACTGCAGCTTCTTTAAATATGGGATACATTTAAACGGACGACTCTAAAATAGTCGTATTTTCATATATATATTGGGTGTGATTCGTTTATCCTCAATTTTCTCTCAATAGGTATTTGTATACCAAAATTCCACCAAGCACATGTAACTTGTCGGACGGTATATGTGTATTTTTGTTTTCATGGATATACCACCGAGCACATAAACCCGCTAGTATTTAGATGAAAAGGTAAAATGAAAGATGGGTTTGGTTGGACTTTGTGTAATCGAATGCTTATGACTTATCTATATATACATATTTTTTCTTATAATAATTGCTTATGATTACTTACTAAAATTGTCACCTAAAAAGAATAAGAAAACGTGCAATATTACATGCTTATTATCAAAATAAACAGTAATCAGCAGAAATAATACTTATAATTATATTACATTTATTTTTAACAAAACAATAATCAGCAAAAGTAGTATACGTTACATGTATGTTAGCATTGGACAGCAAAAGACAAAAATAAATCACTTATGTTTATACGTAATACGTAATACTTAACAGGGTGGTAGCATTTCGCTTCAATTATAAACACAATGCAATGCATTTCAGGAACACATAATGGCAATTCACCACTCAGAAAATTGGATTTTGTGCAACTAGAACTCCGATGTAAATGTCGCAATTTTTTTGTACAGACAAGTTGTTATTAAATCTCTGGTAAAAGCTGCATTAATATTGTCAACAGTTTAAGAATGCCTAGCTTCTTTTAAAAAAGAAAGACGTCGCTGTCCAACTATATGGGTACAGAGGCATCTCGTCAGTCAGATCCAGTGTGAATTCTATGTTGTGAGTTCATAGAATTCTCAGGTCGGTCCATTTTCACTATCTGCATCCGAATACTGCTAGTCCATGGTATTTCAGTGGTATTTGTTATCGTAGCTCAAATGAGCTACTGGGCTATCACTTTTTTGGATTTAATAGCTTGACGAGCAAAAAATACAGATGCAAACTTATTGCAACAAATGTATGCAATTTTTACATTAATTGCACAAACCACAAGGTTATCTGTTAATAGTGATTTTAAAGAAAAAGTTTCTAACATTAAGCCAGATATCTCGCAAACTGAACGTATTCGTATACAACATAACGAAAAAGTTATTCAAATAGTTGTAGTTATTAAAATTCGTTGTCAACTGGGCATGAATATTTCATACGCTGTTTTTTAACTATATCCTAACACTTCGTGACTAACTAATGTGTGTGACTAACTAATTAAAACACATTTTTTTTGCCAAAATTCGTTTTTATTAATCAACATAGTCCCCTTTTAGGGAGATATAATCATTCCAACGCTTTTGCAATCTTTCGATACCGCCTTTGTAAAACGATTTTTCTTTGCCTTCAAAATAGGCGTTAGTTTCGGCGATTACTTCATCATTTGAGCCAAATCTCTTACCACGGAGTATCTTTTTGAGGTCTGCGAAGAGCCAGTAGTCGCTGGGGGCCAGATCTGGAGAAAACGGTGGGTGCGGCAGCAATTTGTAGCTCAATTCGTTCAATTTTGCCATCGTTTTCATCGACTTGTGACATAGTGCATTGTCTTGCTGGAACAAAACTGTTTTCTTCGCCATATGAGGCCGTTTCTTTGCGATTTCGTCTTTTAAACGCTCCAATAACGCTATATAATAGTCGCTGTTGATGGTCTTCCCCTTCTGGAAATAGTCGATGAATATTATTCCATGCGCGTCCCAAAATACAGACGCCATAACCTTGCCAGCCAACTACTGCGTCTTTGGTCGCTTTAAGCGGCTTTCACCGGCTGCATGCCACTCAGCAGACTGCCGATTTGACTCTGGAGTGAAATGGTGGATCTATGTTTCATCCATCGTGATGTACCGACGCAAAAACTCCGACTTATTGCGCGTAAACATGTCCAAACAGCTCTTTGAATCATCGATTCGTTGTTGTTTTTGCTCCGGTGTGAGCAAACGCGGCACCCATTTGGAAAACACCTTTTTCATACCCAAATGTTCATGTATTATGGTGTGTACACTGCCTGCTGATATCTGTAGAATGTCAGAAATCTCCCTCACTTTCACTTTACGGTCGGATATAATGATTTTCAGTGTTTTTTCAACGTTTTCCGGAATAACAGGGTCATTTGGCCGTCCAGTAGATGGAATGTCATCGGTGTCTGTACGACCACGTTTGAATTCGGCATACCAATAACAAATGCTTCTTTTTGGTGGAGCAAAGTCCGAATAATGTTTTTCAAGCCATTCCTGGCATTGAACAGTATTTTTTTCATTAAAAAACAATGATAAATTAGCACACGGAATTGCTTTGAATTCATTTTTTTTTTGAAAACTCAAAAGTAGCGTCACTTAAAGCACTGTAACTTGTAAACAAATGGTCGGATTAACATATAATTTTGACAGTAAACCAACATATTGACAGCGATACAATATCAAACCAAAATCATTACATCCACGCGCTGTTAACCCATATCCGCCCAACGTTCGATTAATCGAACAGCAAATTTTACCACTTTTCATGGATTTTTTTTTTCGAAAAAGTTTAAGAGTTTATATATGTGATTACTTTAATCTACACCACCCATTCTCTTATTAATTAAGCTTTAGAAAAAACATTACTTTTGGTCTACTTTTAAAATATGGTAAAAATATGAAAAAAAATAAGACATAAAAAAAATAATTATAGAGTTTTATTGCCAATTAGTCAAACTTGAAAACACACTTAGATTTTTTTATCAGGTTTTCCCTTCAGCGACCAGAGATGTGTAAAGTTGAGTGTTCGATTATTCGAACACTGGGCACTAATGCCTTTATTTTTTTCTATTAAACAGTGAACTACAATGCAACGTTTTTGTAGTCATTGAACAGTAGTTAAAGCAATAAAAGTACGGTAAATACTTATTTTATTGCATTCAGCTGGCAAAAGCGAGTGATTTTAAATTTAATATACGGTAAATGTAAGGTGAATTTAATATACGGGAGGAGTTGATCTAAATGATAATGCAGTTCAAAATTACTATATTGTAATCGGATCTAAAAAGTGGTACTGGCCGTTATAGCTAGTTGTGCTTGATTCAGCCATCGTTAATGCATTGAAATTGGATTTCTTTGTTCGTCGCTTCCATGCAGAGAATACTATAAATCAAAAAGACTTTCGTGTAAATATTGCAAAAATTATCTAGTGAAAATGACAACAGTGGTACCGATAATAGTGACCTTCCTCCAAGGAGGAGCAACCTGAAACTATGCCCGAATCAAAGGTCACCATTTAATTATAAAAATAGTAGGCAATAAAAAGAGATGGTGCAAGCTTTGCCATAAACCATCCTCATATTTGTGTAAAAGGTGTAATATACCACTACACACACATTGTCTTAAAAAATTCCACAGTCAAAATAAAATGGAATAGGTAAATAATAATTTTTTTTTATGTATTGAAATCTTACTTTAATTTAAAAATAAAAAACATATATATTTTTCAAATAACTGCTGTTTTTCTGTTAAAAAATGCGGCTAAGCGCCCACTGTTCGATTAATCGAACACCAGCTTTCTTCAAAACAAAAAATTGCAAAAAAGTTTGGACTTCAGATTCGTGATTTTTGGCCCAAATACACCCAATATATCCTTGGGCGGATATGTGTTAATTGTGACATTCTTTCCATATGGGCAGCTATGTGTATAGAATAATATATTGTCAATTTCAATTTAGTTACTTGCAGGCGCAATCTCAGTTGTAGTTTCATCTAAATTATATTACAAGTGTTATTATTTGCTTTGGAACAATACACAAGTTGTTTTACAATGCAGACCACTTAATTCATTCCACATTTCAACTTAAGGCATTTGTTTCTACTAACATATTTGACATTTTCGTGATAGGCTTATGAAAATTAAAAGCATTTAATTATGCTCTGATTACATTCACTTAAATCACAATAATATATAATACAAACTTACTTAAGGACGATTTTGTTAGAATAGAAGTCGATCTAATGCTTGGGGATCCATGTTGATAGTGTTTTAAAAGAGCCACAAAAAAATTAAAAAGCTGAAATTAAAAAAATCATTATAGCATATGAGAAAATATTGAACAAATAGAAAATACAATTTCAATTACTAAAGTGCATTTGCACTAAAAAAACACTTACTTAATAAAATTATGAAATTATATTGAAAGTTATTGTCCAATTTGGACATAATAATGAGCAATTAATCATATCATAAATAATTTGTTTAAATTTATTTTATTTTATTTCCAATTTTATTTTGTTGTCAAAGCGAATTTTCATTCTCATAGTGTGAATGACTTAATGTCTTAACCTTGAACGGTGGATTAGGATATCAACATTTATCAAAAACAACAACAACAAATATATATCACACGAGCACACTTTGCTCGTCATATGAGACTACAGATAAGCCATGCATTTGGCATTGCAATGTTGTTACTAAAGAACATCATGACGAATGAAAATTCGTTTGTGCAAGGTCGCGTATTATAATGATTAAAGTAATAATTATGGTTGTAAGTTAACCTGGTATATGGACTTAGTTCAAGGTTGAAAAAAAATAAGTTTAAGAAACTAAGGTTGCTAAGAAAATTACACAAGTAATATTTCCTTTTTGTTTATTCGCAAACAATATCCATGAGAAGTGTGACCGTTTCCATGACTAAGCTAAGCGATATCTAATCGCTACTTTAATGCAGCTCAAGGTATAGGGCATTATCGTGAGAATTGTATGCATCTATACCTTGCAGAAATTTGTATAAAAGACAAAACTTTTAATAATAAAATTCAATTCAATTCTAGAATTTGTTGAAGTTTTAATTCGTTTAAAGTGCTTATTAAGACTCAAGGCAAATAGGATAAAGCGCCTAGTTGCTAAAAATAAGAAAGAAGAAGCAATTTACACTGAAGTTGGTTTAAGTACCAAATTCAGCATTCGCAAATAGGAACTGGTTCAAGTGCCGGATTCAAGTATCGATTCAGGTTCAATAACAAACGAGTTATTGGACAGTTATAAATCCAAGTAATGGTGATTACATAAGAAAATGAATCAATGGTTTATGTTCACAATACGATTTTTAAAAAAATATTTTTTCTTCGAACACATAAAATTATTTTAATGGAAAAGATGTAAGCATTTGTTAAAGAAAAATTATCATAAAATTTGGGGAGGAAAGGAAATCAAACCGGGTATTTGGACGTTTGGTTGGAAGATCGGCCCCTACCGTAATTAAAAATTGAAAAACTACCGGAATTATAACGTTAAATCCATGTTCTGGTCGCTTACCGAAACTTACACACCGCGAAAGGTGCCCAATATTAAATTTGGTGACAAAAAACTAACGTTTGACGGCATTTGGAATTCTACACAATATACAGGAAAGCTTTGCAAAATACTATATGTGGTTAAAGCACGCAAAATTTTGAGACGAACCGGATTTTATGGTAGAATAGCACGAAGGAAGCCTTTCATATCTTTAATTAATCGCAAGAAGCGCATTGCTTTTGCAAATAAATATATAGATATGCCAGAGGAGTTATGGAACAATATACTTTTCTGCGATGAATCGGAATTCTGTGTTTTTGGCATATAAGAACGTAAATTAGTATGGCGTAAGCGAGGTGAAGCATACAATAAACAAAATTGCATAAAAAATCAGAAATGTACACAAAAACGTGATCTTATACTTAGTGTTTGTAGACTTTTGATCGTTTATTTTGCTATATTTGACAATAAAAGCACCGTTATCTCTGCTGCTTTGTGAACACGTGCAAAGAAACTTCACGAAAACATTGTGCATTGAATGTTATAAAAAATCACTAAAGTATGTTTCCAATAAATTTAATAGTTTGGAAAAAATTTTCAAACAAAGTTTTTTGTACTGCTTGCTTCTAGACTTATAACTCCGAGCTTTTTTAGTTTTGTTTGTAGGTTCATGCCAGTGCGCATTATGCCTTCAGTGCACTTTCATGGGTGAAATAAAAGATTTCATTTTCTTACTTGCGAGACAACTTGATAATGGCAAATCTAATTCCAAAATAGATGAAGTCAATGAGAAAAAGGTTTATAATTACAACAACAACAACTTCAGCAGACATGATTACTTGGCACGTTAATTTATTTGAATTTTGAATTCTTCGAAAGAATGTGGTACAAACGAGTCTTTGCTGCTTTTACGATGGCGTTTTACAGAATAACAAAGTGTGGGAGCCTAGAGGCGAAAATAATGTAACTCTATTTTCCTTGACAGACAGAATGCAAATATTACATCTCTAGTTTAGTGTTGATGAAAATTATCAATAAATTCCTCCAGAAACTAGTAACATTGTTTCAACCTATGCAAACAGATATATTATGCAAGCCAACAAACTGTTGCGATCGCAAAAAAATAGTGAAAGTTAGACACCACTTCACAGCCGTGGATGGAAAATATACAAATACTCTGATATATCCTGTGAAGAACGCTTTGCGATAGAGGTGTGATGCTGGTGACTGTAAGGCACATAGCTTCAAACATTTTAACAATCGAGTTTTTAATGGTGCGACACGAGATGTGAAAACCTAAATGACACAATGCTGCTTCCAATTTAACTTTCAAAGTGAAAGTGTAGGTACTATTCTATTATTGTAGTTAATATGTCACCAAAACCATTAAACTCAAGTTGAATTGTGTTGGTTATTTCTACATAAATAAGTTAAAACTAGTTTTAAATAAAAAGTTTTACAAACTTGTTGAATATTCAGCATTGTTCGACTATAGGGTGTACTTTAGGGTAAATTCAACCTATTTATTTTAGAACTTCAACCTTTGCAACAAGAATTTGAGGTATATAAGAACCTGACTAAAAAGTCATTGACAGGTTAGATGTATTGTGAAAAACTGTGAAAAATTTTTCTAATGAAATTCCTAGTGTTTTCATCTTTTAGCTTTTAACAATCATTTAGTCTCACATTTCGGATCAATACATCTCTGAGTTACTCCTTAATGTTTCCTGTAATCTGCTATAATGAGGATATATCCAAATATATTTAAAAAACCTTTAAAATTGTTATTAATTATAAAACTTAAGAGGAATTTCATTTTCTTAACATTTTATGGTTTTAGATTTACTTTCTAATAATATATTCGTCCATATTATATTAGTTGTAATATTTAAAATTTTTATTGTCAAAATAATTCAGATTCTATTTCATAAAGTGCACATTCTTTTAGTTCGATCCAGTATTGGTATTTATCCTGTACTGCCTAATATCACTTTTATTCAGATCTGCTGAATATTTTTATCGCATCCCTTTTAAAAAGTTTATTGTATTCAAGATTTCCATAAATTTTCGCATTTGAGCGTTTGTTTCTTATATTACTATTTTTTGTTGTTATAATCCGTAGTGAACATCGGACTATTCGGGCTGCAATTGATACTCGAGTTCTCTCATTCATTAAAAAATTGACGATAGTGATATTAGAGTTGTAACAACCGGAACTTCTCCTAATTCTGAAATGCCCATTTAATAAAATTTTGTGCAATTGCAAATGGTTTTTTTTAGCAAAACCACGTTTTTACCTGTATCTTTCTCAAACTCCGAGTTATACTGTTACAGCAACAATTAAATCCGCAACTTAAATCAAAAATTCCATAGAAATGATTATTCACTCCTCAGTAGAACAATGTGATGAAAATGACGAAATTGACAATAGCTTATACCATTTGATCAAAAAAGAACGAGAAGTTAAAAAAAACCACAAAATTTTGATTTTTAATATTTTCTTTATTATCGCCTTCAAAGTACGCTCGTCCTGCAGCAATACATGCATACCGACGCTTGATCCACTTTTCCATACAAGTTTTATAGCCCGCCGAAGGTATGAGCTTTAGTTCACGCACTGAATTCTCTTTTATGGCCTCTATGGTCTCAAAACGCGTTCCTCACAATTGCAATTTGAGTCGTGGGAAGAGGAAAAAGTTACACAGGGCCATATCTGGAGAGTACGGTGATTGGTTGATGATATTAGTGAAATTTTTGGCCAAAAACTGCGACACAACTAACGCTTTGTGAGCCGGTACGTTATCACACCACGCCACGAATATCGAAGAAAACAGTCACAAAACAAAATAACCTTGATTTTTACCGCCTTTGGCGTACTCTTTTCGGTTTCGGCTCACCTTCGAAGCTCCATTCGGTCGATTGTTGTTTGGTGGGCATGTTAAATTCATAGAGCCATGTCGCATCACCAGTTATGATGCGTTCGATGAATATGGGGTCACTATCTGCGTTAGAAATCATCTCTTTAGCCACATCACAACGACGCTTTTTTTTGAATGAAATTCAGCTAAAAATCTCCACACGAAAATTTTTCGACTTCTTTGTATAGACGTCAAACAAAAACTAATCGTACGATATGCGTTAAACTTTGACAGAATGTGTATAATTGCCAGCGTGAAAATAAAAAAAATGTACCGATTGAATAAGCTCGGGAAGGAATGAGTTTGAATAAGTACTTTTGTGATCACAGGGTATTGCATCTACTAATTCTGAAAAAAATGCAAGTGAGGTTTGCTACTCAAATTCTGAATCATACTGTTACAGCAGCAATTAAATTTGCAACTTTAAACAAACAATTCCAGAGAAATGATTCCTCTGCCCTCAGTAGACTATTGAAATGTGATGAGAATGACGAAATTGACAATAGCTTATATTGCACTTACTAATTTTGAAAAAAATGCGAGGGAGCCTTTCTGCTCAAACTCTGAGTCATACTGTTACAGCAGCAATTAAATTTGCAACTATGAACAAACAATTCCACAGAAATTATTATTCAGTCCTCAGTAGAACAGGGAAAGGGGATGAAAACGACGAAATTGACAATAGCTCATATTGTACCTACTAATTTTGAAAAAATGCTGCTCAAACTCTGAATCATACAGTTGCAGCAGCAATTAAATCGGTAACTATAAATAAACAATTCCATAGAAATGATTCCTTAGTCGCAGTGAATACATCAGCATTTCTTGATATCGTTGACAACTGCTTTGATGCCCT